TTCAACCCCCACTGCAGTCAGCACGTCGTTGTGTCCCTGAGACACTTCACCCCAAATTGCTCCTGTGGGGATTGTCCACAGTATTGAGTATGTAAGTCACTTTGGATAAAAGCGTCTAACAAGTGACATGTAATGTGATGAAATAATGTAACATTGTTGTTTTGGTTCTTTTTAAAGGGATTTATTGACAATGAGAAAGATGATTACATATTTGCTGCTCAAGCTTCAACAGTGCAGGCATTGTAAAGCTGTGATAATGGGAAAATGCCATGGACAGAATAGTAAAAGCAGAAAAGGTTATCTCCCATTTGAATGATGATGCTTTCATATTTTACACTTGAATTACAAACGTACTCATTCATGAAGTGCAGGAAAAGACAAATGACGCATTCAAATGAAACCCGATGTGTATTTGCCTTTGCCACATAAAGTTCTAATGTCTATGCGTTGTCTCCTAGGCTGGCACCTTCTCCTCCGACCTTCAGAACCGGATCAGAACCAACCAGGAGCGTAAAGCCGCCGCCAACCTGGACCTGTCCAAGCTGTCCATCAACCGCTCCACCGTCATCCTCAACTCCATCGGCAGTCTGAGCAAGATGAAGGGCAGTGCCTGGACCTTCAAGAGGAGCCACAGCAACGAGGGCACCGCCTCGGACCCCGGCTCCTCCTACTCCCCCCCCCTGGAGGTGGGCATGTCCTCTCTGCTCCCGCCCTCCACGCCTCCATCCTTCTCAGCTGCTTCAGTGCCCTCATCAAAGTCCCAGCAGCCGACCTCCAGGAGCCGCAGGAAGTCGGCCCACACCGTGCTGCTGGAGGATGACAGCTCCGACGAGCCCAGGTGTCGAGGAGGTAACGCTCAGCTTAATGCCTGAAGAGATCCACACTGAGCCCTCTGCGAACATGGGAGGCTCCAGATCCAAAGAGCCCAATGGGTTTTTCCTAGCTTTTAAGTTAATCTGTTAATAAAGCTGCATACACATAAACTGACATCTTTTAACCGTTTCCTTTACCTCAGTGTCCTTGGGCACGATACTTAACCCCACTTTGCTCCCATAATGTGTCTACAATATTTAAGTTAATGCACGTTTCTTTGGATAAAAAGCGAAATAACACGTAATGTAAAGTGTGAAACCTACACTTTAATGATAAAGTGTGTAGCGCTCTTCACAGCAGCACAGACACAGGTTGGTTCCTCAAAGCGGCTGATTATTTGTTTGGGAACCTCAGCAGCTTCCTGCCTCGAGAACACTCTGCACAACACATCATACATTGTGCAGTAGGTAGCATGAACACAAGGGGAGATACACTAATGCTTGGCGTGAAACAAACATTACATATAAAACAAAAAAAAGCCTTGTTAGCCACATGTCATGAGAACGATTTATCAGTATTTTGTATGGAAGTCTGGTTAATTACATTTACTATAACTCAACATCAAATGAACATTTTAAATGATTTGTTTTCACTGACCAACAAGTAACCTTGTGTAAGGTTAAGGTTGTCACTTCAATAGTGCATTAGTTTTTATTCAGACTGAAAATGCAGCATTCCTATAACAGCAAGGAATGAATCGATCAGCGTCGGGTTAAAGTTGTGTTTATCTATTTTGCCACGCAGACACATACAGGCAGGGAAAACAAAGTTATCTTTCTCTCTAGATGTGCTTCCAGTAATCCTGTCTAATGTTGTCCAGCTCCATCAGGATCTGTGGAGGACGGACAGAGGTCGAGGGCGAAGAAGCGGCGGCGGCTCTACAAGTCTGAGTCGGAGACTTTCAACCCCCCCCCTCTGCAGCTGCCGCCCCAGACCCACACCGACATCCGGCGCCCCCTGGAGGCCAAGCCCTTCCCCGCCGGCATCAGGACCATCGGCAGTTTCCACGGCGCCATGACCAACAGCCGTCTGAACCAGAACCTCCTCCAGGCGTCCTTCTCCAGCCCCGCCTCCCACAAACAGGAAGTGCAGGCGGTGCAGCGCGTCCAGACGGTAACCCACGGCAGCATCGCAGCGTTCCGCCAGCAGAAGTCTGCTCACTGCGCCCCCGCACCGCAGAGGGGCCGGCGGAGGTCCCTCTGCTCCCCCGTGTTCTCCCCCCTGGTGGTGGGAGGAGAGAAGTACAGCCTGGCCTCCCCCTCAGTGAGGATCTGCACCGAGGAGAGAGGCAGGGTGCAGTTCAACAGGTTCCACCACCCAGCAAGGTGAGATATCACGGAGGAGGAGGAGGAGGTGCAGAAATCTCCTATTGTTGGTGGATATTGCTTTTATTTGTCCTACCACCACTAGGGGTCACCAAAGTCTCTTTTTCTTTTCTATCTTACCAGGAATGTTTAATTCAGAATTTGGCCAATGTATCTGCTATTAATAATAAGGTACATTTTAACCAATGAATCATTTGTAATAATCAGAATACTTTATTTATCCAGGAGGGAATTGAGTGGGTGACAGTTCCTCATTTTAGAATAAATTGAAAAGAAGTAAGTTTTTGTGCCATAAAAAAGAATAAAATATTGAAATAAATAGAGCAAGTTTACATAAAAAGGTGCATTTAATAAATAGACCAAACAGATCTACAAAATAAAAAGTGAATGTAAAAATGTGCATGTTGCACTACAATATATAAAAAGAAATATATATAAAAAAAAGTGTATTCCAAAATAGAAAGTGTAATTAGTATTAATAAAGATATTAATGCTGAATTGCACATTTGAAAAGGAGTTATAGCTGCTGATGGGTATCATAAGTCCCTGTGTCTATTTGAAGAACATTTATACATTACACTGTGGCATACTTTGGATTTTGTCAGATTTTAAAAGTGAATACAAAGTATTAAAAAGTGTTGAGGAGGGTCTTTGGTAATATTTGGCTAATGGGATGATTGATGAGAAATCTAAGCCTTTCAAAATAGTTCAACCGTAAATAACAGTCTCCTTTCCTTTCTCCCTCACCTCTCCTCCTTCTTTCCTTTCCTCTTCTCCTCTCTTCGCAGTAAGCGACGGGGCCGGCCCAGAAAGAACCCGCTCCCCCCCCAGCCTTCCCTCCCCTCTCCCTCCTCCTCGTCCTCCTCTTCCACCTCCTCGGCCTCCTCCTCCTCGGGCTCCTCCTCTTCCTCCTCCGATGAGGACGACGATGACGAGGAGGAAGAGGAGGAGACTACAAGCAGCGCGGTGGAGCCGTGCGCGGCCCCCCGCTGCCGCCTCCCTCAGCAGGACACGGTGCAGTGGATCCAGTGTGACGTGTGTGACGCCTGGTTCCACATAGACTGTCTGCACGTGGACCGCAAGAAGCTGCTGAAGGACCCCAACGCTGACTTCCACTGCGGCTGTCGCTGAGGGGGGGGGGCACTGGTGGTGTAAAATAAAAGGCCCCAGTTAGACTTTCCACATTTACCCCATTTAAATCTGTATTTCCTTTAGCCACACCTGTGGAAATCCTTTTATTGAGGATGCTAATGGCAGGAAAAAGTCCCTGATTACTCCAGCCTGATGTCCCAAGTTTGAGCGTTTCTAAAGGTCCGACGGCAGCTCCATGAACCTGCTGTCTGCTCAGTTTCAGGGCTCAGGCTTTGGAGAACAAAGTGTGATGAAATGTCTCAGGCGGGATTTCATTACAGCTTTGACTGCCTGGAGAGGTGCGGTCAGGGCGGGAAACATGATGAAATGTTTCTGAGCAGCGTGGCTGTCGCTGATCAGAGGCTAGGGAGGCTGATGGAATGTTTCATGTCCACACACATTCAACTTTATCGGATGTCTGCCGCCTTCACTGTTTTAGCGGCGATTGTTCAGGGCAGAAAGGACCTTCAGTGGACATTTACGGAAAGAAACCTTCACACCCATTGGGCTGTTTCCCCGCCCCCCACAGTCGTGATGATAAACTCTACGAGATGTCTGGAGTGCAGCTGTCTTGGAATCAGCGTACGTTGTTTCAGGACAATTCAAAGGCAGGAAGTGCGTCAGCAGACTTCCATTGTGGCTGCTGATGAGAGGCGCTTGAGGGAGGATAATCAAATGTTTGAAGGCAGGAGTGTGTGTGTGTGTGTGTGTGTGTGTGTGTGTGTGTGTGTGTGTGTGTGTGTGTGTGTGTGTGTGTGTGTGTGTGTGTGTGTGTGTGTGTGTGTGTGTGTGTGTGTGCTGTTGCTATGGGACGTCAGGCTGACAGTGTGGCTGCTACTTTGGGAGCACTCGTTACCACGGAAATGTCATGAAATAGCATCCTCTGATTTTACAGAACAAACAGATTCAGAAATGATCTTCAGTGATGTGTCTCCGCACACTGCTGAACTCTTAGTGGACACGTTCCTCCTGACTGAACTGTAACTGCACACATATCTGCCGCTTGAGTTGGAATGAAATAAAAAAAACTCTCTAAAGCACCTTTTCTATTATTTAAATCTGATTGACATGGACAAAAACTGTCCTTTTTTTTTAAAACGGCAACGTTTACCACCTTTTCATGTAATAGACTCAGTTCAGATAATGCTAGTGTTTATAAAGATCATTCTGGGCTGATGCTGTGTAAATAAGCGTTTATTTTTTGATCTGTTCAAGGAAGAGGAAATGTAGATTCTTGAGCAATAAAATAAGAAGAAAAAACTTTAAGATATGTATTTTTTGGAAAAATTGTAATAAATTAGACCAATGATTGGTTACAGTTGATTTGAATGTTGTTTCTGTGCAGCGTTTTGAATGCCACTAGCTGGCACAACGCTGTCACAAAATAAGCAGGAAGTTGACAAAAATCACTGGTTTGGGATCAGTTTCTTACAAGTGAGACTCAACAAAGTGTTCTTTGAGATCCATAATCCTGTGTGTTTATGGACTTCTGATAAGTGCACTTTCATAACATTACAATGAAAATAACCAACATGTATTTTGTATTCTGAGGAAACACCACTTCATTGCAGTACTACAATATCAACTATATAGATGTTAACAAAGAAGCCTAATATCATACAGTGTTTGTTTTTGATGTAAAAGGAAAACCAAATAGTCAGGTTTTCTCTGTTCATTGTGTTTTGGTTTTGTATGTCTCATCACATGTTGCATATTCTTTTTGTCTCTTGAGCTTTTTAAGATATTTAAATGTGTTTTCTATGTCTTCCTCATGTCAACCATCATCCTCACATTGTCTCCAGCTTCACGTGAAAGTCTTAATGAAGGATGTATTCCCAAGCTGCATTTACACGTGAACTGTCGCTGAGAGTGCTACTTTTTTAATTGGGAGAATTGACAGTGTGACAACAATGGAACGGAGAAAAGGAAAAGCCATATTACGTGCAAATGACTCGGATGGTTGTAATTAGAAATGCAATGACAAAGAAGCATCTCTCACTCCCATTTGTTTACATCAAGTTCTGTCAGAAATACATTTGAGGCACTAGAGATGGACAACTTTCTATTAAACCTGTAGGAAAAATATATTCATTTAATAAGCAGAAATCTGACCTACAGTTTATAACTTACTTCAATTTAAAGAAATTATTTGGTTACAAGCAATGCATTACAAAAAAGGTAAAGTAATTAAATAACAATCCACAAATAAAAATAGAGTAAAAGGAAGTATTTCTGTTTTTAAATCATTGTATATTTTTGTTTCTTAAAAACAAGCAACTTTAAAATAGCACTTCTGGCTGCTCATGGGCTTCGTCATTCGTCATCAGTTGACAAATCATCTTTGTATATTGACAACCACATTACTAACAGCTCTTTGCAAATCTGAAATATGTCTCATTTACATTGCCTCAAAGACATTCAACTGATCGATTACATCCAGTTTGCGATCATAACACTGTTGAATGTTTCGTGTGCCATCGGCATATTGGAGCCTTAACATGAATCATTATTGTGTTTACTGTACAAACTCCTTGATACCGGACTCTTAAGGTGGAAGCTTGTGTTTGTTTCTTAAGTCTCGTCATGTTTGATCTCCTTTTCTCAGTTTAATACTGAAACATCACTGGACTCTTCTTTTACGTTCTCACTCTAACCGTCACATTTGAAAGCAGAAACACTCCGATGTTTTGCGGGGTTGTACAGAATTGTCATTTCCCTCTGAGATGCCATCAGCATCAAAGTTATCAGGGAAGAATTAAAGAATATTTTCAAAATGGATCGTTGTCTGTTTTTCACCCCATAGCTTTGTTTTTTCCTCTTTAATCCAAAGACGATGCGATCTAAAACACATTTCATTTATCTTCTTACGCATCAGTTCGTGATTGATGGAACATTGAAATTAGACATTTACATTTAGTTTTCCTCCGGGCTTTTGCGTCTGTGATCCCACACAGATGTGATGTGTGTCTGCTTATTACTTTTATTGTTGTTTTCCTTGAAATGATCACAGTGAGTTAACAAGAACAACCGCATCCCGAAAATGAAGCCATTAAATCGGCTTCATTTACGAGGACGTCTTTCTTTTTCCTTAAACTTTTTAATGGATTTCTCTTATCTGAGCTCAAGCATGAAGTCACATTTGCTCACAGAATTACTGCTTACAGCATTTCTAAATGAAGTTTGCACATAAGATGATTGGTGTGTATTGTAATCCGTCACCATAGCTGTGAAAAATGACACTGTTTTGGAGAAGTATCATCGTGCATAGAGTTTCTGTCCCTTCCCTCGTAATGGTGCAGAGGCTGACATGTTTCCATTTATAATTACCTGCATGTGCTATCTATCGTTGAGCCAATCAGATCATCTCCTAAATATATGCACATTACAGCTCATTCAAATTGAGAATTTGCAGCTTTCCTGTTTACAATCATTTTATATTTCTATCAATTAAAAACAAGCGGTTTGAAGAAGACACCTCCGGCTTCTAATGGGCTTTCTTCACAACTTTCTGACTGTTGAAAGCGTACATTATGAGTATTTAATCAGTCAATCAAAGCGTAGGGCCACAGCAACAGGCACAGCCACGACTCAGGATCCAGGAACACAGCAACATGTCCATGTTCATAATAGTATTCTTACCCGGCCCTGACCAATTTGCTGCCCTAGGCAAGATTTTAGCTAGCGCCCCCCGCACCGGTTGTGGCATGACCACCAAAACAGAAAGATATGGACACAAGATGTGTGCAACTGTATTTAGTTTCCTATCCATTTGAACATGATTTAAATGGGGGGGAGGGGGACCTCACCTCCTCTAGGGGGGTCCGGGGGCATGCACCCCCGGGAAGACTTTTTTTTTTTATATTGAAGTAAAAAGCATCAACCTGGTGCACTTTGAGAGCAACA